AAAATTCAAAATATACATACATTTTTTTATAACTAAAGTAAAATGTTATTTTATTCTTTAACATTTTCCCATAATGGATTAAGATGTAGTATTATTAGAATCTGTGACGCGAAACAACGAAGTCATCCCAGAGCCACGAGTCAATTGGCCACAACAGTTTTTGCGTCATTTTTTCGATGTGCGCAGAAGGTGTGCGCGACTGAGTTTCACGGTGCTTATAATATCTGAGGGAATTTCAAACTCAAATTAACGATTTTTAAAATTAATTGAATAAAGACTTCAAAATTATAAAGTTTAAAAAAAAAAATTTTTAAAGTAAAATTGTGACGTCGCAATTTTTTTTTTACCTTTCCCTCCCCCCTATCACAAAATGTTACAAATTCTCGACCCTCTCCCCTCTGAGCGTGACGTTATTGGCGCACTACTCCTAAAGAAAACTTTTCAAAAGTCCAAAAGTTTAGCTTATGATACGAATCAATTCGCTAAATAAATGGTAGAGATAACATAGACATACCATCATCCAATTATTAATCAATTTTTTTTTTTAATTTTAAAACGTTGTGCTCTTCTAATAATATCCTTCAACAACTGGGGGTTTATTTGACATATCTAACAACTGGGTGTTTATTTGACATATCTAACAACTGGGTGTTTATTTGACATATCTAACAACTGGGTGTTTATTTGACATATCTAACAACTGTGTGTTTATTTGACATATCTAACAACTGGGTGTTTATTTGACATATCTAACAACTGGGGGTTTATTTGACATATCTAACAACTGGGGGTTTAGTTGACATATCTAACAACTGGGGGTTTATTTGACATATCTAACAACTGGGGGTTTATTTGACATATCTAACAACTGGGTGTTTATTTGACATTTGACATATCTAACAACTGGGTGTTTATTTGACATATCTAACAACTGGGGGTTTATTTGACATATCTAACAACTGGGTGTTTATTTGACATATCTAACAACTGGGTGTTTATTTGACATATCTAACAACTGGGTGTTTATTTGACATATCTAACAACTGGGTGTTTATTTGACATATCTAACAACTGGGTGTTTAGTCTTAAGAAAATATGCAGTCATGTCCTTGCGATGCACTACTCCATGTTCATGTTCTACAATTAGATTGTTATGTTTCCAGTACTTAAATCCTGATATAGCAAAGGGAAATACATTTTTGAACATTAGACGACACGCAAAACAATACAAACCACCTTGGTGTGGTGAATAGAGAAGTCATTCAAGTTTTACACACTCGCCATTCCGCAGTTCACGTTTTAACATATTTCTTGATAAATCCCTTGTCTTAGTTCTTTCTTCTCCAGCTCTGCCTGAGTTTGAAATGTTGTAGTCATGATTCTGACACAATGATGGGCCACCGCGAATTCAGTACTCAACTGTACAAGTGTTCTTAATATTCCAAAGCCCGGGATCTGTGTGGTGAATCACAGACTCTCGTTTTCTGGGCCAGCTTTGTGTGTTTCAATTTTTACAATTTCCCCAGCAGAGGAAATAGGTAATGGTATTGTCTGAAACTAGATGGCTGGATCCAATAGAGGATGTAGATGAGGCTTTTTTATTTTGATGAGCTGTATTAGTCACTGATATTTCGATTGGATTTAACCAAGATATAATTTTGCAAGTTTACCCGTTTTCCTTGTCTCCTCAGCTCTTTTTCTCCTCTGTGCTCCAATTATAAAACAAATTTTTTACTCCCGCTTAAGAGGTTAAACAACTAGAGATATATTCATTGGTTACAAGTATTCCTATAGTAATAGCAGCAATCCGTTTAAAAGATACAGGTAATCATTTTTAAAAAAAGGGATTTGTCTGTCCCTTCAGACGAACACGTGCCCCGCTAAAAACGAACATAGGGAAATGATAAATAGAAAGGATGTCATTAATAAAATCGATCTCTGTGTTTGAGCTACCCGGTATGTAAGATGAAAATAACTTTTAGCTTTAAACAGTGAGCACAAATTATGTATAAATGCCTATATATTTCTGCCTAAAGCTCAGACATACGGTGACTGTTGGGTTCTATTTATCATCTAAATATGTTTTTCAGACACAGAATACACAATATTTTTCTGTTGAAAAAAATATAAGGTTATTTGGGTTTTGTTTTTCAAAAATAAAGTTCCTTTGAAAAAGAATTATTCATTGGTTACCTACAAATTCCTGATATAATGCCAATTAAATTTAGCAGTACTTTAATTGGTGCTAGGATAGATTTTTCTCCACTAATTTCACTACGGAGTAGAGGCGTATCTAGGGTTAATACCACCCGGGGCCAACCTCTTTTTCTAACAAGGTTGTAAACAAATTCTCTAACTTCATTATTTTTCAATTCATATCTGGGAGAAGTAAAACTTGTTCACGAGAGTTATTTCCCTTTAAAAGTTTTAAAAGTATCCAACTTGTGATTCGCATTTATAATATTAATTTTGAAATGTGCCGATAAAATCGTGGGTTAAAATTGGGAAACCTGCTGTCCACTGATTTTTAAATCAAATTTAATTGCCAAAACTTTTCAATATTCATTAACAATATTTGCAACATTAAGCCTTTATAAGAGTGAATCTCCTAGAAGCAAGGGGCCCCCTAGAAGCGCGGGGCCCTGGGCAAGTGCCCACTGTGCCCATGCCTTAAGACGGCACTGGACACACCTAACAACTGGGTGTTTAATTGACAATCCTAACAACTGGTAGTTAATTAAGTTGACATACCTAACAACTGGGTGTTTATTGACATACCTAACAACTGGGTGTTTAATTGAAATACCTAACAACTACGTGTGTAGCTGACACATTGTCCAACTCAACTGAACACGACTCCAAATTGAAGTAACACATATATAACATAAATTCAAAAGCATTTACTACAGTGCAATTATTTTGAGAAGGAAAAAAAATGTCAACCTCCATCATTCTATTCGCAACATGCATGGCCTAACACCGCGGTTCATAATTAATGCATTCGTCGCATATTTTTTTTTAAATAGCGATCAATCAACCTGTTTGAATGACTTCCAAAAGTTGCAGGCGCAAGCTCATCACGTGATAGGCAAGCGTGGAGCTGGCGTGGTTGGGGCTTGTCATTGTAACCGGTTTTGCGGGTAGGACGATAAGACAGAGGTAAACGACAAGATTAGATCGATGTTTCACCAAACAAATATCAAAGGAAAAAATCGATGAACCGTAAGCTACACGCTTCCCCGCACGTATTTCCTTGGGCGTCATTTAATGTGTGAGCGTGTGTGTGGTTGGTTGGGGGGGGGGGTGTTTGTTAAAACTAATTTCGAGCCAAAACTAAAGAATGTCTAAATAAAACGGTTCTAACACATGCATTACTGAAATTCGGTGAAATAAGTGCTATTTCTTATTTTAATCTTTATACCATTTTTTCTGTTGTTTTGTTCGCTGACGAAGGCTTTCTGCCGACACGCTCGTTGTTTTGTTGCGATCCTTTTTTCAGGTTTAACTCTACTCTGTTTTACACATTTTATATATTTTAAAAACAAATATCTTTTAGTTTTGAAAGTCTTAGTATGATGGGTTTTCGGTGCTGAGAATTGTCTTAACAGTGCTTTTTTTTTTTGTGCCGGTACGCACCGGTACGGCGTACCGGCACCTTTTTCAATGTAGGGAAAAAATTATTACTTTTCTTGTATTTTAACATTTATTATTAATTTATTATATTATTAATTTGTTAAAATTGAATTATTTTAAAATTGCGCGCAATAAGAATTAAAATATAAAATGCGAAACTGCTTTCCGCACACACTCGTAAAATAAGGTGTCAGTTAAATTTTACAAATCATAACAAATGTATACGGCATACTAATAAAGTAATAATAAAACAATTTAAGTTGGTTAATTATAAAATAAAATTGTTTTAGACATTTAGTATCTTTGCAGTTGTGATTTAGCTTGCATCGAGGTGTGAACTGGTAGTTAAAAGTTAGGCAATCCATCACTCAGTACCGGCACCTATTTTTTTTTTTTTATACAAAAAAAAGCACTGCTCGTCAATATATATTTTTTAAACTGTGTATTTATCTAACTGTATCCTTCAAACAAGTTCCTTTTTTTTTTTTTTTTTTTTTTTTTTTTTTTTTTTTTTTTTTTTTTTTTTTGTTTTTCCAGTGTAATATCTGCTAGGATTATCTGCGGCTATTTTCGCACGAATTTTTTTCGACTGCCAAACTCATGTGACGTAAAAAAACATTTCATTCAAGAACATACATTTTTTAAATTTTTTTTACATGACGAGAGGAACGACAACGATTATCCAGCTCTCCACGATGAGGCGAGTTTCTGTTTCATGCTGGAGCAGTGGATCAGTTCATTACTATCTTGAAGGCCTACATCATGGAGAGCCTCGGGTGCGAATGGCGGCGCTGCGTGTCTGGGTCCATTTTGACTCAGTGCTATTCGGATGTCATTTATGGTAGTTTATTCTAGTTAAACTAAAGAATTAAGTTTACAAACATATAGTCCATTCAATTATCATTTGATACCTCATTGTGTCTTACAAACCCAACAATACAATTTAAAATAGTTTTTTTTAATCTCAACCTATCACTTCTGGTACCCGGGTACCAATAGCTACTTCGATAAAACAATTAGGTGCACACAAATTAACAAATTGTTATTATGCAAAATTTATGTATGATTTGGCTATTATTATTTGATAGCAGTGTTAAAAAAAAAAGAATTTCAGTTTAAGCAATAATATAAACACATCCTAGGCTTAACTTTTTTGTTAAAAACTCCGACCTGACATTGGTACATGTTCATTCTTAAAAGAGTCATTTAGATTGAGTCCTTACAGTTTATTTGTACCAGTGCTAAAAAATTGAGCTTAACCATTTTACCGATATATATAAAGATATATATATATATATATATATATATATATATATATATATATATATATATATATATATATATATATATATATATATATATGTATTATTTAATCATGTTTTTATACCAAAATGATGATTTCGTCTTCGTTCGTCTTGGGTATAATGTGTTGTTTTTGGTTTTTTTTTTATGGGTTTTTTTTTCCTTTTTTTCTTTTTCTTTTGTCAATGTTTTAATTTTTTTAAGAATAGTTTTTAATTGACATTATTCATTAAAGTTTTATTAATTGAATAGGGATTGGTTTTGTAAAGAGACATAAAAAAACAACTTTAAGCAAACAAAAATAATTTAATTTTTCAATTCAAAATCTAGACTAACAGTAAAGAGCATGTGTCGTCGAAGTTTTGATAACTAAGCTTAAAGACAATACTGTATTATTTAATGAATATCAATCTCTTCAATGGAGGGGTCTGTGATCTTTCCGTGGAACAAAATCACTCGCTGTCTCTCGTCCATCAGGAAGAACAGGAAAGCGTGGTCAAGAACGAAACGGGGCTTAAGGCTTGTGGTGGATATGCTTATAGATGTGGCGGCAGCAGCGACCGTACCCGACTCCTGGACTTCTATGACAGTCTTGTGGTTAACGTCGGTTATTTTGGATTTCTGCGAAGAGATCTTTGGGAATTCAGCGTCGTCTTTGAAAGCCTTTTCTAGACCGAGCCTCTTCAAGGCTTCCTTCAGTTCCATTGTGGCACTGATCTTGAACTTCGGTACACTGATGTCCAAAGCTTCCTCCTCCATGCCATCCAAGATGGAGTCCAACTGCTCGCTTCCGCTGATGAGCTTCTCCTCAATGTTTCTTAACCCGGAAGTAGACTTAGGGGAAATGAAATTGAGGGAAAATCTCTTGCCTTGGAAGTATAATTTCAAGACGTCAGCATTCAGAGACTTCAGTTCCTTGACTTTGAAAATACCGTCTTGTCTCATCAGATCCACTTTAACTTTGCTACCATCGGGTCTGGTGAAATCCTCCTCTCTGCTTGTGCTCTCGTTGCTAAACGGCTTATCCCAGGTTCCGTTGAAGTAGATGGCGTTGATGAGTGCCAGAATGGTCGAGTCTTTGGAAAGCTTGCCAGGTTGGATGATTTCTTGAATATTCTTGTCGGTTATGTTAGCCACCCACTCATTGATTCGTTGTTCAGGCTTGTTAGATGAGAAGTCCAGCTTTTCAACATCGGCCAAATACTTTTCTCTGAGTTGTTGCTAGTTTAAAAAATTCAAAAGTGGAAAAGTAAATATTATGGCACACATAATATGTCAACAGGCTGTTTATAAAAAAATGGAAATGCAGCACGCAGACTGATAAAACCACGTTCACGGGGTCTGAAGGTTTCAGATGTCATTTGGTTGTGCAGAATTACAATTAGTTGCGTAGCTGGAGTAAATGCCGCCCGGAGCGGGCTGAGCATTTTGCCCCCCCCCCCCGCTTCTTGGCCGAAAATGCAGCCCGTCCATATGAATTAAAAAATTCCCCCCCCCCCCGATGAGGACCACCCCATGTGCAGCCACTGTTGTGAATTAGTCTGGTGATTGGTGCGATAATAATTAAATGACGGAGAGAAAACATACGGTTGTATATCCTGAATATTAACATTTCTGAGAGCTGAAGAGCGTAGACAATAAACATTCATCCTATCTCCCCTTTCTCTGGACAATTATTTGAGTTGATGCAATATAGATCTCTTGATCGCAGCTTTAAGTTTGTTAATTTAATAATCCATACGCTTGGTGGAAAAGGTTGGGGGGGGGGGGGCGAGCTGACAGGGTTTTTCTATGGCCCCCCGAAGTCATTATTTGAGTTGATGCAATATAGATCTCTTGATCGCAGCTTTAAGTTTGTTAATTTAATAATCCATACGCTTGGTGGAAAAGGTTGGGGGGGGGGGCGAGCTGACAGGGTTTTTCTATGGCCCCCCGAAGTCAACATTGTCAACAAGATCCAACTGCTTGGTATTTGCCATATAAAGTATCAGCAGCATAGGATCAGCCTTGTACCCTAGCCTCCCCCAATGAGAAGCTTTGGGACACTAAGTCAGAAGTGGTAGGACCCACCTGACATCCTAGCCTCCCTTTTGACAAGTTTGTAACTCGAATTCAGCAGTGGTAGGCCCCTACTAACATCCTAGCCTCCCCCAATGACAAGTTTTGGGGCTCGAATTCAGCAGGGGTAGGACCCTCCTGACACCCTAGCCTCCCCCAATGACAAGTTTTGGGACAATAAGTCAGCCCTGTGCAAGACGACAGTGTGTCTCTGTTGTTGTCTAGCATGCAAAGTTATAGGATTTAGTCTGTCGATGTTCCGTCCGAAACTAAGCTACCAAGACTTGGTTGTTTAGTTACTACGCACTAGACTTTAAGAAGTACACCCGCTCACAAAAAGACCTTTATCTACCTACCTAAACACGTGTGTAAAATTATAATTTTAAAATATCTTCATTATATATATATATATATATATATATATATATATATATATATATATATATATATATATATATATATATATATATATGAGAGAAGGATGGATGGATGGATGGATGGATGGATGGATGGATGGATGGATGGATGGATGGATGGATGGATGGATGGATGGATGGATGGATGGATGGATGGATGGATGGATGGATGGATGGATGGATGGATATTATATGCCAAAGTATAGTGAATAATTGCTATTCTTTAACGAAAAGTCTGTAAAGTTGGACAAACTAATTAGACTTCAAAGAAAACGACAACAGACATTAAATGTTTTAAGACTATTTGAGTTTTAAAAAAACACTTTAAGACTATTTTTTAATAAGTTACTGCCGTAGATAAAAAAAAAAATTTCGTTTTAAGTACCTGGTAATTAGACTTAATTTCGTACTTGTCGTTGTACCAAAGGCTGTTGGCAATGTCGACTCGGACCTCTTCTTGGTCTCTCACGCCCTTGATCCATGTCTGGTGTGATTCGTGTGGATCTCTCGGATCATTCAAATCGGTCAGCTGTGAATGTACATTATGTGTGGACATATAAACATATAGTAAACATATTTATAGTCAAGATATTATATTATGATTCGGTTTATTTTTATATTATGGAAGCTGCATACAGATAACAGAAATGAACATCCATATTGTAGTCACTGGATGGTGTGTGTGATCAGTGGCGAGATGTAGGTAGTTAGGAAGGATTTGTGAAAGTGGTACATTTTTTTTGGAAGATGTGTTCCTGAGATTGTGTAGGGTGGAAGAATCGTATTGGTACATTTTTTTTTGGAAGATGTGTTCCTGAGATTGCGTAGGGTGGACGAATCGTATTTCGGGCCATGATGGGAAATGTCTGGCTCCGGAGATCCCCGTTGACGTTTTGTTTCTTATAGGTGCTCTACAAATAACAAATTGTGATTTTTTTATTGGCGGCTAGGTCGGTCATGGGCGTTTATTGTAAGTGTTTAAGTGTTGCACACAAAATAAACGTCTTTCCTGTGCACGGTGCGTGGGATGCGTGGGGTGGCTTTGCTATTTACATTAGAAAATTGTGTCGGGTGATAATTTACTTGATACTCAACTTTGTGAAACGTATCATTATTGATTAATTAATCCTAGACCAAGTTGGGCAATGCTTTTTTTTTTTTTCAAAATAGCCAGAGTTGTGGCGAATGAAAAGTAAAACGCGCCACATTTTATATAAATCATAAAACATTACTGTTGAATCGAATGAGAGTAAATACCAACGAAGGCGGCGCCTCTGCTGGTTTTATTTAAAATTATATTGTTACTCATTTTTTTTTAAAATCTCCCCACTGCCTCAGAAATGTATACCGTTATGAAAGCTTACCTGCAGAGCGGATCTCATTTCTTCGGCTGTTTGGCCCTCAGCCCCAAGGTAAGCCATGGACAAGGCGAGATGGATGCTGGCTGGCGAGTAGACGGAGTTGACCTTTTCCAGAGCGAGATCCTTGTGCAGCATCTGGGAGAACTTGGTCATGGCTCTGCCAAACTCACGCAATCTGTAATCGGGGCTCTGCCCCATGCCGTTGTGGGCGCAGCCGACGATGGCCAGGACAATGATCAGAGAAGAAGCCATTGTGGGACGTTCGCCTTGTTTTGACAGCGGTGAAGACCTGCTCTAACATGGACGTCCGAGATTATATAAGGTGCGGGACATCAGCGGGTAATTGCTTATTGACAAAAATGTACAGCGCTTCGTCTTATTGATGTGATGACATTTAAGAAAGTTTGGACAAGTGTCAGCGGTTCCCTGGATATGGATTCATCCTTGAAAAAAAATTAAATAGATCATTTAACTTCTTTATTTCTATTCAACCCATCAGAGAATTACTGGACCGCGAAATGTTTCAAGAATTTATAATGATTTACATAATTCTAACCAAATCTATATTTTTCAGGTCTATCTATCTCTCATATTATATATATATATATATATATATATATGTATAAGAAGGCCGGTAAATACTGCTCCACCCCATTCGTGTGTGGGAAACGTAACCGAGACTGCCATTCGAGGATTGGTCTCAACAGCCACACCAATAGCTGCAAGCAATAAAGATAATCTATCGTCTCCCGCGGACGGAAAGATCCCATACATACATACATATATAATAGATAGATAAACCTGAAAAAATATATATAATATGACTTTCGGTGACAAGCAATGCTATTTTTCAAAACTTGACGCAAAATTTTCACGTGTGAACTAGAAAAAAAAAAAAAAAAGATTCGATCAAATTACCGTCGATCAATTTTCCGTCGACGAAATTTCTTTTGATAAATTTGCGGATGCGGTTTTTGGTGTTGTTATTCTTCAGAATATACACTGATGAAAAACATGTTGTTTGATTTTTTTTAAACAAATTTTTTTTTCAAAGAACTTACCAAAAAAGCTATATTCTTTCAAAGGATCCGCTTTTGGGAGAGAATAAAAGAAGCAAAAAAAAGAAGAAAAAAATTGTTGCGGGGTTGGGGCGGGGTTACTCTATCCCCCCTCCCCCTGGCTACGTTACACAAGACTTTGGTTACAACACCGTGCGGGCAAAAGTGTCGAAGAGCCATAAATCCTGCAGTCGCGTGACATGAAGCTAATTACGATTCGTTAGTTTTAGGAGCCTATTGCTTGCAGTCATGGATTTATACGTCCCCACGGGCCTGACCATCTTTAGCCGCGTGGCGAGCCTGACCATCTTTAGCCGCGTGAGGAGGGGGGCTGGCCATTTTTAGTCGTGTGTGGGGCCTGACTATCTTTAGACTTGAGGGGGCCGTAGATCTATCCATCTTTAGGCGTGTGGGGGGGGGATCCGTAGATCTGACCATCTTTAGCCATGTGGGGGCCGTAGAACATATCAAGGTGAGAGAGATTATGTCCACCAACTTATCACAAACACTATTTTCAAGGTAATTTTTTCAATAATTTTTTTGAAACTATTGAGCTGAAAAAAAAAAAGTATTACTGGCGTGTAAAAGTAATTAGTAAATAGATCACTCCGTTCATCCGATAGTGGCAAACTCTGGATACCGTGAGTCCGCCTTGAGACCTATGGAAGACGCACTTTTGCTTTTGCTGGCCCAAGAATCTGGAGCGGCCTTCCTGTCGCTCTCAGAAACAGGCAGACACTGCAGCCTTTCAAAACTGAGTGGAAAAGACATCTTTTTCGCACTCACCTGCTGGGAAGATGTAGTCTACCTCTTTGTTTCCAGCTTGCTCATATTCCTCGATGTATATTGGCTTGTATTGTCCATTGGCTTGTATGTAGATTTTGTATTGTCGCATTTTGTATTTTATTGCGCTTCGAGCCTTAATCAGAGATGAAGCGTGTTGAAACGAACTTTATTATTATTATTATTACTAAACAGATAATATGTGTCACGTGACGTAAAATCATATATATATATATATATATATATATATATATATATATATATATATATATATATATATATATATATATATATATATATATATATATATATATA